ATAACTTTTTATTTTAATGTAATTTCAAACTTAATACATGCAGATATATTACATGGATTCATCAATTATTAACAATTTTAATGGCCACATTTTAAAGGGTGAATCATCTTGTACTGAATAGATATATCATAAAATACTGAAAGCATCTCCTAATGTATTTAGATATTTTCTTTTTTCTTTTAACTGTAGTCACCTTTTTTTCTCTTTTTAAACAGATATTATTTATTTATTTGAGAGAGAGAGTGAGAGAGAGAGAGAAAGCATGAACAAGGGGATAAGCAAGGAGAGAGGTGAGGGGAGATGCAGGAAGAAAGGCAGAAGCAGACTCCCCACTGGGCAGGGAGCCCAATGCAGGGCTGGATCCCAGGACCCTGGTATCAAGACCTAGCGGAAGGCAGATACTTAACCAACTGAGATACCCAGGCACCCTAAGTAGGTGATTCTTTCGATGGCCATCTTCACCAATATACTTTTTTTCACTCTACTGCTAAATTTTCCCTTGAAATAAATGGAAAGGAAAAATAATTTATTGGGCTAAATTATATAAATATTATAATGCTTTTAAAAATATGTTAAAAATAATTTTTTCAAGGGTATGAGGTATTATCTTCTGGTTTTTGTTGGCAGCTCTTTCTCCCAATGATACATGCTCTTTCTCCTCCAACTTTGCATTTCCTGGAGCACTTAGTGAGGCATTTTTTAGTCAATAGGTGCCCAGTCAACACATATTATTTAAATGCCCAGTACCTGTGTATTAATGCTGATCCCAGAGCCCTATCACTATTCACAACAGAACTTGGGAGTAAGTCAGGGGAGTGGCATGGGGGAAAAAACTGCCTTCAGTCTGAAAGCGACTTCCTGCTTACCTGTGATGATCTTAACACACAGAGAGAGGTGGGGCATAAAATTATGGTTTGCGAGGCAAAGGAATTGTTCTTACAGGGACTAGTTCGAAAGATGTTGAATCTTAATCTTCAGATCCTCAAGGAGGGGCGGGATAGGTCTTGATTTTTCTATTCTTTAGGGGCAGCCATTGTAAGAATAAGGAATAAAGGATGACATTATACCAAAAACATCAGAATCTTCTTTTTCTTTGTCATATGCGTGATTTTATTCCTTCAGTTGTGAACTCACAAAACAAAGACAACCCGACTTACGAAGACTGACATGAACAGGCTTCAGGGAAATAGAAGACATCATTTATTTTAGTGGAGGATAAATCATGCCATGTGTGAGCCATCAAGATTGGTTCTTTTGCCTGCTTAGGCTGAGGGGGAGAGGTTATGGTAAAGAAAATATCTCCAAATATGCAAATGTATGGTAATAAGCCTTGCTTTGACAGAAGTATGAATCATTCACTGGAGCCCGTCATAACATTATGAGCAGAGAAAACAACCAAAAAGCAGATGATCTAAGAAGGTGTGGGCCAGTGGTGTCTTCTTTGAATTTGGAGCTTAAATATTTAGTCACTGGGTTCAGGGTAGCACAGTCATAGGTCTATGGTTGGTAATGAATGTGTCATGAGCTCCCTCACAAAATTATTATATAGATAGAAAAAGAAAGATAATGGATGTGCCCACCACTTGAAAGTTATAAAATGGTATTTAAATAGACACATTTACATTTATTATAAATGCCAATCTTAAAGTCAAGTAATAATTGGATTTTGTTTGTGTGGCCAAGTTTAATTTTACATATTCTTACTTGTAGGTGGTTGGAAGTTAGGGAATAACTATGTCCCACTATGTTTCAAAGGCTTTAGTCTATCCAGAAGGCATGTTGTAGTGGAAACAGTATAGTCTTTGGAGTTAGAATACACCTAAAATCGAACTGAGGTTCTTCTGCTTACTACACAGCAGCGTTCAGAAAAGTTGCTTATGAGCCTCAATCTTCTTACAAGTACAAATTGAGTTAAAGTACCATTCACATAGAGTTGTAAAAATTAAATTCAGTCAAATCAAATCAAAAGAATGAACAAATGTAAAGTACCTGGCATGTTCAACATGTAATGTTGTCATTCCTTCACCTCCGATGCTCAGGGGAGTATGTGTATGTACGTGTGTAAGGATCACAATTGCCTGAGACGTGGAGGGCATGTAGTTTGAAAATGGCCCCGGGTGTTTCTAAAATGCCCACCCACCTAGATTCACGCCCGTGATCTTGCTTCTCCAAACCAATCTTATTCCTAAAGCGTCTGTTCAAACACGGTTTAAGTAACCTAAAACTTACTACAACCTGTGATGGCTTTCATGTTGGCAACCAGTGATTTTTCTTGTACATGCCTCATGTAAATTTTTTAAAACCAGTTTCTAATAATAGTAAGAGATCAAAGACATATCTTGGTCATGGGTTCCTTTTTATTTTGTTAAAAGAAGTATGTATCATTTACCTCTCTCCTAAGGTCTCCACATCCGTCTTTCTTGGGCTGCATAGAATCATTTTCTCCTATGGAGGGTAATTTCCTGCACATATGCATGAATTTGATTCTTGAACTTTTTCTCTACGTTCAGAAAAGCAATCGGGGCAAATTAATATAATACATGTTAAGAGACAATGTAAGTGATCTTATAAACTGAAGGTTCTGGCTGATAAACCCAATTAAAATTATCCAGTACATCCACAAAAGGCTCTTAAGTGATTTTTTATTTGGTTAATAACAAGGTAACAATATGAATACACGCAACTGTTAGAAGATTAATTGCATTATCAATTAATGACTATTGGCCTTACCTGTTTCTTCAATACTGCCCAGCAACATAGCTAGGTTTCTCTGGTTAGTTTCTAGTTTAGTCTTTATAAAAACCATTTCAGATCTTCTCTACTCTTCCCCAAGTGTTTATTTTCTATTCTTTATTCCCTGCTCTTTCTATTAACTGATGACTTACAGTTCTACTGCTGGAGAAGAATATAGACGCTTTCAGAGAGCCACTCCTTCCACTATTTGTTACCATATCTATATATCTTACTCATCTGCCTCTATCCATCCTATTATAGTGGAAGCGATTTTTGTTCTCCTTTGGGAGGTTAATCTTTTCATTTGTGCTTTGTATTCACATCTTCATCCTTCCTCTTCCTAAACCTGCTTCTCCAGTATTCCCCAGCTCTACAAGCCCTCTGCCATTCACTTGGTTTCTGACACTAGAAATCTGGATAGCATTCCCAACTCCCTCTCTTTTCTCAGTGTCTTATGTGCATAAATATTTACTGAACCCTTTCTTTTCTCTCTTCAGCTCCACTGTCCCACTTGACTCCAGGGCCTCAGCTGGATTACTGCCACACTCTGATTAGCTTCCTGCCTCAAGTCTTCCCATTCTAGTACATTCCTCATACCTACAAAAATGACCATTTGCAAATTGAGTTATGTTACCATTCTTACAAAAACTCTTCAGTAGGTAGCTTTTTTGCATTAAAATACAGTTCATTTTCCTTAACGTAGGTGGCAAAGCCCCACAGCATTTGGACCTTGTCTATTTTTTTACCCTTCTCTCCTACCGACCACATTATTCCACAGTAGACCATAGGCTTATGGGGGGCGGGGGGAACTGCTATGTTTTCAGAGCCCGTCATCCTTGTCTGGTATGTGGTTAAGTATTCATTCATGTGGATGGGAGGTACCATAGCTATGTTTGAGCTTTTATTTATTTTTTTAAGATTTTATTTATTTATTTATTTAATTTATTTGGCCCACAGAGAGGGAGAGAGAACACAAGCAGGGAGAACAGCAGAGGGAAAGGGATAAATAGGCTCTCTGCCGAGCAGGGAGCCTGATGTGGGACTCGATCCAGGACCCTGAGATCATGACCTGAGCCGAAGGCAGATGTTTAACCACCTGACCCACCCAGGCTCCCATGTTTGAGCTTTTAAAAAAATTGTTCTTGTAGGACACATGGCAATATCCTTCAGATCATTTTTCAAGACAGAACTCAGCTGCCAAGTGTATGAGTACCTGTGTTTTAAAATATAGATTTTATGTTGGTTTAGGTATGGTAAGGAAGGCTGGCAGATCAGGAGATGATGGCCACTGAAAAGATTTTTATTTACTGTTCCCAAGAGAAAGGAGAATGCCATTCTAGGTAGGGCCACATGGGAAAGCACCAGAGTTAGAGAGGAGGCAGAGAGAAAAAGGAGGAGCTGTGTACAAGAGCTTTTATTGGGTTTCTGTAGGAAGAAGCAAGTGAGGCAGGGCAGGCAGGTGTAGGATGGGTAGTTTGAATAATTTCAGTGGGCTCTGTGGTAAAGGAGCTGTCCCTGAGTTGTCTGTTATACAGCCCGGGATACATGAACTGTAACTGTGGCCATATTCTTCTGTGGCATGGGAGTAATGGCTCAGAGTGCAAGAGCTCAAAAAAGGAGGTTTTGGGATATGAGCTCTGGCTTGGCTGGTTGGCCTATGGAGACTAACATTCTGGAAACTCAATCTTAGGTATACTGGCACAGTTGGTCACCCCAGCGCAGTATCATGAAGTGTTGGCATTCACTCATGGGTGCAGTTATTTGCCATTTCTGGGTATTAGCTAGCCCTGGGAGCAGCAGTCCCTCTGGGGTTAGCAAAGTCCCAGATATTAAAACATCAGAATAAGAAGATATACTTAATACAATGTGACAGCCTCTAGCTGCTACTTTTGTCAAGTAGCAGTTTTAATGCCTCAGTTTTAAAGCCAAGGGCATTTTCTTCTCTTAGAAGCCAAAAACTGAGTGAAGTGGTAATATAAGAATATAGCTATTGCTGCATAATATGGATTTCTCTAATGGTAATAGTTACTCCAGAGTTCCCAGTTGATAGGTGGAGATTTTGTCAGACAGGCTTTGCTATCTGATAACTCCTCTGCCCAACCCCACTTCCTCTCTTTTCCTTTAACAGGCGTTACTTCTCAATAAACCTTTGTACTTTTATTTGTCTCATTGTTTATTATCCAGAAAATCAAACTTGTAATAGGTAGTACTGAGAGAGCTCCAAGAAAACAGACATCAAGATGAAATTTGGGGACTGGGTCACTCACCTCCCAGCTGGTAATGAGGATTTAGCAGTAGGTAGCACGTCAACAGCCTCTGGTACAGGTGGTGGTGTGATACTAAAACTCTCACCACTAGTGAGGTAGGCCAGCATGATAGTAGAAGTGAATGTACAGGGCAGTGTGCTGACTCGTGTATTTGAAAGATATGGAGGAGGGGGTGGTAGACCTAAGAAGAGTAGCTCTGCATGGTTGCTGCAAGGTTGGATGTGTGCCCCATAATGCAGTAGTAATGATAATGAAAAGTTGAGGGAAATGAACATAATTGAGAACCTAGTATGAGATCCAGAGGTTCTCTTTGGTCAATTATTAAGAAGCCCTCATCTCATGTAGTAGGTGAGCGGGAAACCTCACCTACCAAGCACAAGATTGGATAGAGTGGCTCAACTCCCATGATTGTTGAACACTCAACAGAGACAAGTCTGTTATTCCAAAGTCAGAGCCCTACTTGGGAAGGCCTGGGACCTGATCCATGGAATGCAGATAGCTGGCTAGATATCCCTGAAGATTTTGACTCTCCAGAGTTCTTTTGAGCCTTCTGACTCTGCAGAAGTAGGTCTTCTATGTCCTTCTATGTCCTATGCAGAGTTAGTATTCTGCAGAGAGTCTCTTCCCTGTAAGGTGATAGCTGTCCTCTTCAGGAGCTGTGTGCATTTCCTCTCCTGGCTGCCAGTCAGGGTAAGTCACAACATAACCATCTGGGAATGTGTCGGGCCTGAAGAGAGAAGAAAAAAAATCTATGTTACAAAGGAGCTGCAAAAATTAGCAGCAGATGTCAAGGGCTGTGGGAGCACTTTCTGTTTGACTGGATTTGTAGGGTGCTTGATCAAGAGATCTGGAACATAAGGTTGGGTAAGGATGGGTTGATTGACATGGGGCAGCCTTTCAGTATATAGGATGTAACATCTGCCGAGGTGCTTAGGGAATGGTGTCCGTTTGCTGCTGGAGTGGCTCCTAGAAGTCTGGAAAAAACAATGGCCCATGTTAAACAAGGTTGAAATTCCAGAATTTTGGTGAGAGACGGTAGAGGCCAAATGATCAAAAGGGTCAGAGAAGTAGGCCTGGTGGAATGGATATATTATGGAAAGCCTCCTCAGAAAGTTAGATTTCATGGGAGAGCCCAGATAATACACCATTCACAACAATCCTCAGGAACGTGCTGGTGTACCAGTAGGGGATAAACTTGTTCCATTTTGCCTGGAACTGTCCAGACTCTAAAACTCAAAGACTAACATTCTGGAAACTCAATCTTAGGTAAACTGGCACAGTTGGTCACCCCAGCACAGTATCACGAAGTGTTGGCATGATGGGTACATAAATGAGATGGCCACAGTGGGAGAGATGGAGGCTCCATATGGGTCCAAAAGCTTGTGTTCCCACTTACCAGCACTAGTCTAACTAATGCCTCCTTAGAATGTCCAACCCATCATCGAGAAAGTCACATTGAATCCACAGAATGGCACTGTTCCTTAAGGAGACCAACTGGCTACCTGGTAGCATATTTACTGCACTGGACCCCTTCCATCCTGAAAGCACCAGCCATTTCTTCCTTATAGGACTAGACATCTATTCTGGATATGAGTTTGTCTTGCCTACTCAGAGGGCCTTAGACTGTAACACTGGTTGGGCTGTTGTGAACATTCTAACTGGGTAAATTCCTTATAATCCAGAGTACTGTGTTTGTTTTCCCTGGAGATACTTCTTTAATAACTGATTTCATTATGATTGTTCAAGTCACTAAAAGTATTATATATTGTCCTGTGCATTCAGAAGTGAAATGAGAATGTCTGAAAGTACCACCTGCTATTTACTCTCACTTTTTTGACTTGTAGGGAAAAAAACCCAGAGGAGTTAACGTTTTTTTGCTATGAAATATGTTCTCTTCAGGTTATGACTAAGTGTAATTTGAGGTGTGATGTGGGTAGACTTATTTTTCCACTGTCATATCTTTTGTATATATTTTTTTCATTTTAGAAGGATTCTTGAGTATCATAAGACCATGCATTGGTATGTAAAATTGACATTAAAATTGTATCAAAGACAGTATAAAAGTCCCACAAGTGTTTGGATATAGTTCTTGTTCAATGTTAAGAAAGTACTATTTAGAAGATTTTATTCTAATATCATTAATGATATAAAAGATAGCAAAGATGATGAAAAATGGAAGGAATTTAATTGTAATCTTAAAGTCAGAGACAATGCTTCATCATATATTGGCTTGGATATATGGTAATATTTTTAAAGTAGTTACTTTAAAAAAATGTAACTATAGCTGTGCAATGTTGTAATTTAAGGACCTTAGAACATATTAAGTTATGGGTATGGATTCCCATGGTGAGTATGTTTCCGAATACCCTGTTGGGAACCACCATGACATCCTGAGAGAGTATAAACCAGTCCACTGGCAAAGGAGGAATTTCAGTGGAGAGGAGGGAAGACAGGAAGTGTTATGGAAGATGACATTACATTAAGTATTGGCATAAATGCTTTTCTTTTATTTTTGTTTTTAGATGTTTTAAAGAAAATAATTTATATACGTTTAAAACATTTACTAGACCATTATGAATACAAAAGCTTCCCCCAAGGGAGGGAAGTACATAGAAATATTTAGTAAGGGTCTTTATTATTCTGGGCATGCTATTTGGGGAATAAAATATAGATAATTAAGACATTAGCCAGACAACATAAGAAAAACATGGCAGAAATAAAGGTGACGGAAGTTGTAACAAATATAAAAATTATGCCAATATAGATGAAAGGTTTCAATAGATATAGTAAAAAGTGAAGTTCTAATGGTTTTAAAAGGCAAATCTAGTGGCTCTAGCCACAGCTCAGGTCATGATCCCAGTATCCTGGAATCAAGTCCCACATCGGTCTCCTTGCTTGGCAAGGAGTCTGCTTCTCCCTCTGCCTGATGCTCCCCATGTTTGTGCCCTCTCTCTCTCTCTCTCTGAAAAATAAATAAATAAATAAAAAATTTTTAAAAAAGGAAAATCCAGTTGTCAGAAACCTATGCGTTATCAGATGCACAACTAAATCAAGAAGAAATTTAAAGAGAGGAGGAAGAACAAAGCAAGGAAGCAGAGACAATAAGGTCGGGGGTCCAAAGTAGCATTAACCAGGGTGAAGAGGGTAATTTGTATTGATAAAAAAGTACACAAACACAACAATTAAAAAGTTGAGAACAATAATAACAGCAGATGTAGAGATATAAGAAATGATAATTGTGAAACTATAATAAAAATATTTAGTGTTCAGAAAATAGATTTCTGAAAAAAATGATTGAAATTTAAAATCAATTATTGAAATTGATTCAAGAACTAGGAGACTTGGACAAGAAACAACTCTGGAAGAAATGAAAAACATATAAACATTTTTTCCCTAAAAGCATCTGGATTGCTCAGAAAACATTTCTTTTCTATGCTGTCTTAACTGTTCCCTTGACTGTATAAAACTTGCCGAAGGCTTTTCAGAGAATTTTATAATGCTGACCTTATCTTGGTTAATTGGAATCTTGATAGAACATTAAAAAGTATACCAATCTAGTTCTGAGGAATTAATAATTGTATTCAAATAAATAACCCCCCGGCTCTGTCTTCTAGGAAAATCTGCATAAAGTCGTCTTTTGTAATCAAACACTCGTAAGTTAGAGTGTTTGCCCTCATGATCTTTACTCTGGGGTTGGGATTTAAAAGCTCTGTTTTTTAGTTTTACTTATAATATAACTAACACGTCCTATAAGGTCTTTAGTCATATAGACTAAATTTGAATTTGGATTTTTCATTGAACTTGGATTTTTTCTGCCTTTGGCCTGGAGATTGTCAAACAAGTAAATTTCTTGATTTTGTTTGGTTGGATTTGTTCTTGTTATTTTGAATAGGTTAATTTTCCCATTTATTTTTATTGGTATTTAGGGATAAATGCAAGGTAATCTACTGGTTTTCCTCAAGCTTAATTGAGATATAATTGACACATAAAATTGTGTAAGTTTAACACGTGTAATGTGATGATGTGATGCACACATAGATTGCAAAATGTCCTTCACCTCAATTGCCATTTTATTGTTGTTGCTGTTGTTATGAGAACCTTAAAGCTCTACTCTTAAGGCAACTTTCACATATGTAGTATAGTATTATTAACTATTGTCACCTTGCTGTAACTTAGATCCTGGAACCTATTCATCTTATAACTGAAAGTTTGTACCCTTTAATCAACTTCTGCCCATTAAGCCCCTGATGACCTAATGTACATGGTGGTGACTATAGTTAATAACACTGTACTGAAAAAAAAAAAATAAAATTTAAAAAATTTGAAATTTTCATAAAAGAGCAAATCTTAAGTATCCTCACTACAAAAAAAAATAACTGTGAGGTGATGAATGTGTTAATTAACTTAATGTGCTAATCATTTCACAATATATGTGTATTATTGAATTATCATGTTCTATACTTTATATACAATTTTGTCAGTTATATCTTAAACCTGGAAAAAATGTTAACATCATCCAAAACAACCTCACAGAAACATCCAAAATAATGTTTGACCATATATCTAAACTGAGTACTATGGCCCAGTCAAGATGACATAAAAAAGTAACCATCATGAAGTTCAAATAACAGACCCATTGTCACTCAGCTGGTAGGTTGTGGGACTGGGATTCAAATACATTTCATTGAATGTCATATTGTTTACTTCTATGTACACGATCCACCATTCAGCAAATGTGTGATTTCGTAGTGTAATCTTTTACAAATACCTTAAAAGAGTACTTGAACCTCTATTCAATTGTCCATTGATTCAAATGAGTATCAGTGGCCAGGTTCTGTATTACTGTCTCACTCTTCCACCGAACTGTGAAATACATGAGTGTAGAGAGGTACTTAACAGGGCTTGAGGCCATCTGGAACCATGAACATGCAACATAACATCCTTCTGATACAAAGATAACAATTCTCACTTAACTGTTTGAAAAGCACGTACTTGAATTCTTTTTTGTTTTTGTTTTCAGTAATACTGGTACATTTCCACTGATTCATCCTGGTTTGTTTTCCAAGGTTTTTAAACATTTAATACTATGATTAATATTTATAATACT